GGGCCGGTCCGCAGCACGGACAGGAGCCGAGCCCTCACACTTGCCGTCCCTCGGGGAGATCAGCCGGCCACGGAGAAGCAGGCTGACTGCGGCGCACCTCTTTCAGTCTGGAGCGGAGCAGTATCTGCTTCCTGGGGTCACGCACATTCTGGATGTGGATTTGCCTTCCCTGCCCAAGGGCCGGGGCCAGGACCAATATCCAAGGAGACGAAGGAAATGGTCTATCCCTACAAGATCCCACACGATATCACCCCTAACCAAGGGCAGCCCTTGGCCGCACAGGAAACGTGATGATGAGCCCAGGACCAGGCGTCCGTCGGCCCTGCCATCCAGCACAGCCCCGGGAAGCAGCGAGCCCGGCAGGACAGAGGACGGCCTCTGTACGCACAGGTACACTCCAGCTTGGAGGGCACATGCAGTGGACTTCAAAACACAATCTACATTTTGAACCAACGCCATTATCCGGCGCTGGGCCCAGATGGCTAGAAATCGTGGGTGTGGGAACCAAGGGATGGACAGAGCAGTGATGTCACCGCCAGCCCCAGTGACCCGCTCCGGGGAATTCATGCTTCCCGCCCCTGGAGGCGCTGCAGGGTCAGAAGCCCTGGTTCCTGCGGTGGGAGATGGGGTCTGCCAGGGGTCACAGTAGGGGCGCCGCCGGAGCTAAGGTGCGGCCTCTGGCTCCTTTGGGGCACCTCATGCCAATCCACCGACAGGCAAAGAAAGGAATTACAGCGGCGAAGGTTTGCTCTTACGTAGCCCATGTCAGCCCTTCCAGGGCTCCTGGACGGAGGGCAGGACAGGGCCAGCCCCACCCACACACTCCGCCTCACACCCTCTGTTGGCTGCCTCCCCCTCCTGCCTTGCTTCTCCAGCCCCCCACCAGGGCCTCTTAGCACGACCCCCCAATACACTGCTCAGTACTGAAAGCCTCGACCCAACCTCCAGTTTGAGGTGCCCCCACTGTCCTCGCTCAGGCTGCCGTACCAAGTCACCATGGGCTGGACGGCTTAAACACAAACACGTGTTTCTCTCTCGGCACCGAGGCCAGCAGATCTGGTGCCTGGTGAGGGCTCGCTTCCTGCCTTCGCATCGGAGTCACACGTGGGGGAGAAGCAAGTTCTCCCTAATCTCTTCTTATAAGGACGTGGATGTCGTCGCGTCATCGCGGGATTACCTCCCAATGGCCCCGTGTCCAAAACCATCATACTGGGGATTAGGGCTTTAACATATGGATTTGTGGGAGGGTGCAAACGTTCATTCCCTAGGCAGCTAGCAAAGACAAATGGGAGAGAATCAAATGTTAATCTGACCTCTCCTTTTTTTTTTTTTTTTTTTTTTTTTAATCTGACCTTTCCTGAATGGGTTCTAGGATAACAATCATTGACGAGGGACATTTTTCTTTATGGAAGAGTTCACAGTTAATAATCAAGGAAGAAGGAACAACAAAATTAGAGGGTTTTCATTTTGTGCTTCTAATGGAATGATGCATCTAGACAGTGATCACCAGTAGCCATTAGATAAAAAGGTGATGGGTGTATGGGGTCAGGAGGATACACGGAGGGGTACGTCCCCATCTTAATCCCTGAGACCCGTGAATGTTCACTTGTTTGGAAAAGGGTCTTTGGGGATGTAACTCATTACATGAATGTATTCCCAAAATTCGGTCACATCCTGGATTTGCCAGAGTGGGGGGCAAATCCAATGACAAGTGTCCTCAGGAAAGACAGAAGATGAGGAGACCCAGACACGTGAAGAGGAGGAAGCAATGTGACCACAGACACAGAGAGAGGAGCTATGTCCCCAGAGACACCAAAGAATGCTGGCTGCCACCAGAAGATGAGTGAAGCAAGGAGGAGTCCTCCTCAGAGTCTGCACAGGGAGGGCTACACCGCCAACACCAAGAGTTTGGACTTCCGTCCTCCAGACCAGTAGAAGAATACATTTCCCTTGCCATAAATCACCACGTCTGTGGCCATTTGTTGCAACAGCCACAGACAACTGGTACAACGGGGACATTTGCAATGAATGCATCAGGCTGATGCGACAGAATGTACCGGTCAACCTAGCAGCAAGAACCAGATACCATGTGCGTCCCGATGTGACAGAAGAGGAGACGCACGGTCCTACTCACGAAAGGCTCCTGGGAAAATAGTGAATGTGTGTTTAATCAAACGTCTAAATATAATGGTGGGGGACAGAGGAAAGGGTGAAATGACACTACAAGGATACCAAGAATGTGGGACACTCGGCAGGAGAACGACGCGGTTTCCTAAACAAACAAAATGGCATAGAAGACATGAAGGTGGAAGAAATATTACTCTAAAAAATTAACCGGGGGGCGGCCTGGGGGGTCAGTTAGTGAGCGTCCAACTTGATTCAGGCTAGGGTCGTGATCTCAGGATTCCGAGATCGAGCCCGGCCTGAGGCTTGTGAGGCTCTCCGGTCGTCCAGGAGTCGGCCTGAGAGTCTCTCCCTGCCCCTCCCCCCGCCTGCATGTGCTCATGCTCTCTCGCTCTCTCTAAATGAATAAACAAAATCTTTTAAAAAATAAGTAAAAATTAACCAAGAAAAATCCATCAACAGAATGTATAGCCCTTACTTGGATCCTGGTTTGGGCAAATCAGCTATAAAATTATATTTTTTAGACACTCAAGGAAAACTGATCATGAAGTATGTATTAGATTATGTCCACTGGGGGAGATGTGATAATGGGGTTATGAATATTGTTTAAAGTCACTATATGTTAAAAATAGTGAGAATTAAGAGGGGAAATAATGGGCTGTCTGAGATTTGCTTCAAAATACTCCAGCACAGGGACGCCTGGGTGGCTCAGGCAGGTAAGTGTCTGTTTTTGGCTCAGGTCGTGATCCCAGGGTTCTGGGATTGAGTCCCACATTGGGTTCCTTGCTCAGTGGGAAGCCTGCTTCTCCCTCTGCCTGCCTCCCCCCACTGCTTGTACAAGAGTGCTCTCTCTCTCTCTCTCTCTCTCGGACAAATAAATAATTAAAATCTTAAAAAAAAAAATACTCCAGCACAAACACAGTGAGCAAATGCACAGACCCCGAGGGGTCCGTTTCAAAACGGTCAGGCTGGATGATACAGCGGTTCGCCGGCCGAGTCTCTCTGTTTGCGCAGGTTTACAGTTCTCCATGATTAAAAAAAAAAAAAATGTAATAGGAATGCGGAAAGCAGCTGTAAAAATTAGCAAGCATGTGTATTCATGGGTGAAAAAAACAAGCTTTGCAGCAAATGGAAGGGTCCTGGGGCCGGTTCCCATCTGGTCTCTGGCAGCGTCAGGGCATCGCGCAGAGGGAAAGCCATCTCCCTTCAGGGGATGAGCCCGGCATCGTGCCTTTCGGGGCTCTCACTGCACAGCACGCCAGGACTGGGAGAAGGAGGCGGTGGCCGCCCGGCTGTTCCGCAGTCTCGGCGGCCGGCCTGGGCGCCGCGGCTGGAGCGGCGGCTGGTCTGGACGCGGCGGCCTGCGGCGTCCCTTCCAGGCCGGGGTCGGCTTGCTCTCCCCTGCCCCCTTGCGGCTGCGCGAGGCCATGCAGGCGGTTCTAGAGAAACCGCGCTCCGCGGAACAGGCAGGTGTCCCGGCCGCGGCCCCTGACCGCGGCGGCAAGGCCTTCCGCAGCGCTTCTTGCCTCTTCCTTCCGCTGCGGGGACTGGCAGCGCTCGAGGCGGCTGCTCCGCGGGCCCCGGAACGGCTGGGATAAGGAGAACCCGTTGCCGACCGCGAGGCCCAGGCCGCCCGAGGGAGGAGTGCGGTTGCAAGGCGCGGCTGTCCGGAGGCCGAGCCTCTCCCCGGCCAGTCCCGCAGGCTGCGGACACCCGGGCCGTAGTCACTGTGGGTGTTGTTACCGCTACTGTCCCCACAGTCACCGCCGACTGCTACAGTACCGGTGTGTGCGGCACGTGGCCCTGTCTCAGTGGCCCTTAGGGCTGACCCGGGGGCAGACACTCGTATCCGGGGCCGAGGGTCGCTGAAGAAGCCCGTCGTCCCGTTACGCGAAGCCCCACGGGATGGACTCTCTCTGGCGACCACCGCAAGTGCCCGCCTGGACCTGCAGCCCGCGGCTTTGGGAAGTCCGTGCCCGGGGCTCCGGGAGCCCTTCGCGAGCGCGAGCTTGCCGCGGTGGACTGGCACCGCTGGAACAGGAACACGGATAAACGAAGGGATTCATGAAAACAACACGCATCGTGAAGAAGAAACGTATCGGCGTCCGCGCTTGTCTCTGCAGCGCCCGGCCTGATGCTGGTGCTCCCGGTCCAGTTCCGCGCCGCCCGCGGGGGCGCCAGTGCCGTCGGGTGCCGGCGCCGCGCTGGGCTGGGTGGCCCGGCTGCCTCCGCCCCCCACCCCCGCCCCCCACCCCGCGCAGGGCCCGCTTCCCGTCAGCTGAGCGGTGGTTTGCGTTTCCTGCACGGGGCGGGAGACCGGCTGGGCCTCGCGGGCCGTAGCGGTTGGTTCGGCCGCCCGCAGGCCTGCGGGGGCGGCGCGCGGCGGGAGTCCGGCCGCACGGTCTCGGCGGGCGCGGGGCGCCCCGCGTGGGGCTCGGCGCAATAGCACCCGCGTTCTCCAGCGGCCGCGCCTGCAGTCCCCCCTCCGCGGGTGGGGCCCCTGCCCCGCAACCCGCGCGGTCCGGCAGGCTCGCCCGCACAGGCAGGAGCCCCACCTCCTGCCGTGTCCCTTGGCGCGAGGTCGGCCGGCTGGGCCCCAGGCCGCCTCCGCCCCACGCCTCGACGCGAGAAGTCCTCAGGTTGCTGGGCTGGGGGACACAGCCGTCGCTTAACGCGCCGGGCGCCCGCGCGCCCCCAGCAGCGGCCGCGGGAGCGCTCGAAAGGCCGCCGGCTCCGCGGGATCCGCGCGTCCGAGGTCCCGCCGGGCGCTCCCACCTCTTCCACCATGCCCGGCCCGGCGGGACCCCGGGAACCCCGGCCGTGGTGGGCTGCGGAACGCGGGCGGCGGGAGGTCTCGCGCCCGGGCCGCGGCGGCCCTACTCCGAGTAGCAGTAGGTCCCGAAGGCCGCCTGCTGGGCTCGCGGGAAGCCAAAGCTGCGCACGCCGGGGTCGGGGAGGCCCCCGCAGCGCGGCCGCGGCGACGTGATGGGGAAGCGCACGCTGCCATCCGCCAGCCAGCCGCCGTCGCACTGGTCCAGCCCCGAGAACTTCCAGGCGGCGTAGAGGTGCCCGACCTTGGCCACCGTGGCCCCGCGTCGCCGGCACGCCGCGTGCGCTTCGGACAGCGTCAGCCGCCCCGGCACGAAGAACACGTGGCCTGCGGAGCCGGGCGCATCACCACCCGCGGCAGGCGTGCGGGGGGCGGGGGGAGCCTGGCGGGCGCGGGGACTGGGGGCACCACGCGCGGTCTCGACGACGAGTCCGGGTCCCCTCAGGCCGCGCGCATCTCGCTCCGCGCCGGCTTCTCCAGACCGTCCCCACGACCCCTTCCGAGCCGCGGGCGCGGGCTCTCATCCCCGCCCCGCCGCCCGCCTGCCTCCCCGCGCCCTCACCTGCAGTCACCGAAGTGAAGCAGAAGGCGTCGTAGCGGTCGCGCTTCCGGTCTCGGGGCCCGTAGCTGCGGATCCCCGGCCGCCCCCGGCCGCCGCACGGGGCGCGCGCCGTGAGCACCGGGTAGCGCACCGAGCCCTCGAGCAGCCAGCCCGCGTTGCACCAATCCAGGCCCTCGGTCCACGCTGGCGGGCAGGGGGAGATGGGGTCGGGGGTTAGAGGGGTCCCAGCAGAAGCCGGACCAGAACTCGACCCCGCGAGGCCGGGCACATCCCGGAGAGGCCTGGGCGGTGCCCGGCTCGGCCGCTCACCCTGGTACAGCTGGGCGTAGGTGGCCAGACGCCCGTCCTGCTCCTCGCACGCTTGTTTCGCCTCGTAGTAATTAAACTGGTACCGGCCCCGGCTGGGCTGGTACGGAAACACCACTCCTGGGGGGAGAGGCGGACAGCCTGGAGGGGGCCGGCGGACAGGAGAGAGGGCTGGGGGACCCCGGCGGCGGGCAGGGGGAGTCCTGGGAGACCCGAGTTGGGGCGGCCACAGCCCAGCAGAAGAGGAGGGAGCGGGGAACCCAAGGGCCTCACCCTCCAGGCGCAGCGTCAGCGCCACGCTCTCGTCCTCGATGCCGTTGATGAGTTCACAGCGGTACCTGCCCTCGTCCTCCAGGCGCACGCCCTCGATGACTAGGGAGGCGTCCAGCCGGTGCCCCCTCCGCATCCTGGCACGCCCCCCCAGGGGCCCGTAGCCCCGGGCGTGCAGGCCGTTGGTGATGAGGATCAGCGTTTCCCGGAGCTCCCCGGGCTCCACTTTGCTCCAGCGGACCTTGTAGCTGGGAGGCGGGGTGCCCAGGACGCAGGGCAGCGTGGCCGTGGCTCCACGATGAGAGTGAATGACCTCGTGGATGGGGGGCAGGAGGTAGTGGGGACCAGGGTGGGGTGCTGAGCAGAGGGGGCCACAGTGGCAGGAACCCTTTGACCCCCACCGCAAGTGCCCATCCAGACCCTAGACCCCAGACTCCTCCAACCCTCTCCTCCATTCCACACTTAGCGATGGCCCTCCCTGGGTGCCTCCAACAGCTGCCTCATCCACTTTCCCTACACCTGAAGCCTCTCCCCCACCGGTCCCCAAATTCTGGGCTGGGCTGAGGTCTTACCTGCGTCCCCCAGGGCTTTGTGGAGGATGGCGAAGGCCCAAGGGAGAAGGAAGTGGCAAAGCGTTGGGAGACTGAGCAGACCTGGCATGATGGCAAGTCAGCCCAGCGCTGTCTGTAGGGCACAAAGAACACAAACAAACATTTCTTGGGACTAGGAATAGGAGGAGGGAGCAGAGTTGGAGATGGATGATCCCATCCATCAGGGATCCCTCAGAGGGGACTGTCCAGCTGGAAAGCATGGGGACAGAGCAGGGGGCTGAAGGGGGCAAAAGGAAGGTGATGGGGGAAGGGACAATGGCCAACTCCCTTCCCCCAGGCCTCCACGGCCTCCCTGCCCTTCCCCTTCCCAGGTGCTACTTCCTGAGTCTGGCCACCCAGATGGCCGCTGCAGTCTCTCTCCTCTCCCAGCACCGTCCTCCAACAGAGCCAGCCCAAACGTGATCTTGTCACTCTCCTGCTTAACACAGTGGCTCTTTTTGCCCTAGGGACAAGGTCTGGGCTCCTAACCTCAGCTACCAGGGCCCTCTGGGATCCCGCCTCTCCCTGTGCCTTCCACATCGCCTCCCACCTCCCGTGCCCTCAGCACTGTGTTCCAGACACCTTGGACTTCTGGCTCCAAGAGAGTCTGACTTTGCTCTCACTTCCTTCTCCTGGGCGTCACTGTGGGCCTCACCTCCTCTGGGAAACCTTTCCTCTTCCCTCGCTGGCCACACTGTAGTGCACTGTGACCTGCTCTCCTGGGCACCCCCCTTCACCGGTCTGGCCCTCGTTCTTGGAAGTGCTTTTATTAGCGACTGAGCTAGCAGTGTGGGTTTGAAAGTGATACCTGTGCACCTGTGGGCTGTATCGGGGAGGTTTCCAGTGGTTAAAAAGCTATAGCACTAATTCCAAAAACAGCTATTTCAGTAGTAGATTTTCCCCCTTCTTTTTCTTTTCTTTGTTTTATTAAGTAGGCTCCTTGCCCAGTGTGGGGCTCGAACTCATGACCCTGAAATCAAGAGTCGCAGGCTCTATGGACGGCCAGCCAGGTGCCCTGATTTTTTCCCCTTGTTATCTGTCCTTTATCAACTTGGCCATTTAAAAAAAAAAAAAATTGGACTGAGGACACCTTTAGCCTGGCTGTACTCGTTTTCTAAGCCCTATTCCTCCAAGTGCTAATTGCATGACTTCGAACGAGTTATTTAGTTACTTACTTCTCTCTGCCTCGGTGTCCTCAGCAGTAAATATGCTGATAGCAGTCCCCGTCTATCTCATCAAAGGAACATGCTAGAATTCTTAAAATCGTGTCCAGTATGTAGTAAGTTCCATGTTTGCGTTAGACATTATCTGCAGCACCCAGGACAGTTTCTGGCACACAGTAGGTGCTAAATAAATGTGTGTGCTTGTTTTTTTTTTAAGATTATTTATTTATTTATTTGACAGAGAGAGATCACAAGCAGGCAGAAAAGCAGGCAGAGAGAGAGAGGAAGCAGGCTCCCTGCTGAGCTGAGAGCCCGATGCGGGGCTCCATCCCAGGACCCTGAGATCATGACCTGAGCCGAAGGCAGCGGCTTAACCCACTGAGCCACCCAGGCGCCCCAATGTGTGTGCTTGTTAATGAATGAGTCCCCGCTAAGCATTCTGGGAAGGAGAGCCGGAAGCCAGGGGGCCGGGCCCCACTTGCGCTTGCCGAGGGAGAATTGGGGGCTGCGTGCAGAGGGCTTCCCGGGGCCTGGAGGGGAAGTACCTGGGATGGAACCCACGGGAGACCTGCGTGAGACTGCCCCAGCATTTGCCCCGTGTATCCTGTATTTAGGTGGGAATGATTATAGGTCCCCTCTTACACCTGTTCAACGGTGCACACATTGTAGGGAGCAGTGAGGTCACACAGCCAGGAAGAGCATGGCGGGCTGGCGTTTGAAGCTGGTTTTGACGGCAGGCTCAAGCTCCTCCTTAACCGCTCGTCTGTATTTATGTGTTTCTAAGCAGGCCCACACATACTCTCTTTGTAGCCCTTGCAGAGAATTCGAGAACCAACAGCCCCCAGCGCCTACCTGTTAGAAGCCGGTCTCTTCACAGAGATGGGAGAGGCAGGGACTGGCTGCTTTTTGTCCTGCTCCAGGAAGACGTTCCAGTGAAAGGGTTGCAGGACTCCTGGCAGGTCCAGGCACCTTCGAACCCTGGGACTTGGGCACCTGATCGGCAGGGCTGCTCCTTGTGCTTCTGCCCTGAGCTCCCAGGAGCAGCTAAGGTGCCGAAAACTTGTCCATCTGCCAGTCCACTAAGCTAGGCTAGGTGACCAGTGTCCAGCCTGTGACCTGGCACTTTCTCTGCACGGCTCACTGTCCTGGGCCTGGGGAAGATGTGGGGCTTGGGATCGGGGCTGGGGACCCCCAGAAGGGTTGGAATGAAGGAGGCATCCAGGAAGGATTACCTGGAGGAATGTGGAGGGTGGGGTGCCTCGTTTCTTCTAGATGCTCTCCGCCCGGAGAAGGAGCAGATGGACTGGTGGGTATGAAGACGTTGGGCCGCTGTGTGTGAGGATGAACTGTGGATGAGCTCACAGACCGTGGTCAAGATCCGCCATCTCTGCGTTTCCACATGGGCCTGTTGCAGTAGCAGCCTCACCCCTCATCCCACAGAGCCCTCACCTCTGTCCTCCGGAACCTGGGTGCGCATCGCCTGCGGGGAGAGGCTCTCAAGTTGGGAACCAGACTTCCAGCGGACCTCCAGCGGCTTCTAGAAATCCCAGCCCCTTCTGTCCAACCCCCTGTCTGTCCGTCTGTCCTTTCCTTCTCTGGCCCCACCCCATCGGAAGCACAATTTCCCATTGTCTCTGTCTTTCCCCCTATTGTTGGATAACAGGGGCCCTTTCTTCATCCTGTAGGCAACGGCAACAAAATGCCAGCAGCTGGGGATGTGGGATGCAGGACCGGCTGGCACTCCCCACCGGAAAAGGGGCCCGGGTCGGAGCAGGATCCCAGCAGGATGGACATCCCCAGGGAAAAGAGACGGGGTGGGGGCACTGTTGGTGAGGAGGTTGAAATGGGTCCCTTCTGTCCCCAAGCTTCAAACCTTGGGAGGGATTTGGTGTGAGGCCGGGGATGGCGGGGCTCCGCGGAGGACAGAGCGTGTGGTTGGAACAGCAGTGGGAGAGAGGGCAGGTTGACAACAAGGAGGGGTTTCGGTGCCTGGGAGGAAAAATGGGAATTTCTGAGAAGGACTTTGAAAAGCTCTCCAGAAGAGAGGTCAGCTTATTTGTCCCGCCTCCTCTTAGTGTAAATTCTTAAGAGAAAGGAGGTCCTTAACCTCCCTGAGTGGGAACACAGTCTCCAGTCTGCCCTGGAGTCTAAGCTCCCATGGAGTTCACACTCAGTGTTCAGACCTTTCTGTCGAGGCACAATTTACATACGGGGGCACAGATCTTACACGGACAGCTCAGTAATATTTACACGCGTACACACCATGGAAGTAACCCCCGAGATCAACATATCGAATATTTCTAAAGATTTTTTTTTTAGTCTTTTTTTTTTTTAAGATTTTATTTATTTATTTGACAGAGAGATCACAAGCAGGCAGAGAGGCAGGCAGAGAGAGAGGAGGAAGCAGGCTCCCCTAGAGAGCAGAGAGCCCGATGTGGGGCTCGATCCCAGGACTCTGAGATCATGACCTGAGCCGAAGGCAGCGGCTTAACCCACTGAGCCACCCAGGCGCCCCTCTAAAGATTTTTTTATTGGGCACCCCGGGTGGCTCAGTCGGTGAACCATCTGCCTTTGGCTCAGGTCATGATGCCAGGAGTCCTGGGATCAAGTCCTGTTGAGCACAGAGCCCCGCACGAGATCAGGACCTGAGCTGAAACTAAGAATCAGACGCTTAACTGGCTGAGCCCCCCAGGAGCCCCTTATGTAGAACATTTCAACACCCAGAATAAGCATGTTTCTTTCGCCGTCAGTGCAGAGGGCTGGGAATAACCTTGTGGAAAAGGTTCTAGCTTCCAATCTCCTCTTGCCTTCTTCTCTCTCCGCCCAGCAATCCCGGGTCAGTGGATCGTGTGCTTTTGGAACCGGAGGGGACCTGAGGACACCTGGCTTCTTCAGGCACCTGACAAAGAGGAGGAGCGGGTGGGAGGGGAACAAGCCCACACGGAAGGCAGCTGTAGAGTCAAGCCTGGAACTTGCTGCCGTTCCCACTCATCCCTCTTCAGCGCCTCTCCCGGATTCTCCCAGTCCCGGAGTTGCAGGGTTTTCTGCAGGGGCCGCATCTCCTAACAGGGGGCCCACCCCACCTGCTCGAACTCCTCTGGGGATTGACGGACTCTCTTCCCCCTCTTCCAGCACTGTTCCTGGGCCCTCCCCTACCCCCCCCCCCCCCCGCCCCCCCCCCCCCCCCCCCGGGCCCAGAGGAGAGAAGACAAACAGCCCCTGTCTCGGGGCCAGGACGCCCTGATCCCGCGCATCTGACTGGCCTCTACCCAACTCAGACAAACAGCCTCCCGCAGAGAGCCCCCCCCCAGGCCAGCCTCCGCCCTGGGCTCACCCCCACCCTCTGTTCTCCCGGGATCGCTTCTGAACTAGGGTTTGGAAGTCTCAGGTATGTGAGCCCATGAAAGGCTGAGTGCAGACGGGAGGTGGGCCTGGCACTATCCCACAGAGGCAGAAAGAACCCTTTGCGGATGGGGTGGGGAAGGAACAGACCGGGACCAGGAATGAATGTGTGGCGAACAGGATACATTTCCGGTTCCCCCAAGGCTCAGCTCAGCAGGGGGGTAGCTGCTGGGCTTGCCCTTCTGAGGGGAGGGCCTTGCCACTGCTGCTCCCAGCTGGGCTGGGCACAAGTGCGGAGTCCTGACTTCTCTTCCTCTAACGCCCAGACTCGGCCTCCAGCCACCAGGCAGGGTCAGCTGGTCAACCTTCTTGATCCCCACTGGTGGCAATCTGCTCCCAGTTTCCTCTTGAGACCGCTGCATGGGGGGTGGGGAATGTTGGCAAGATGGCCCTTTAGGGGGGTTGAGGGAGAGGGTGGGGGTGACTGGAAGGGGCCTCTCTTCTTGTGAAGTTCACACACGGCCACCTCCCTGCCTCCCTGAGGGAGAGGTCCCTCGCCTTCTCCTCCCTGCAAGCCCCAGGCCACGCTTATTTCTGGCCCGGGCTGGGGTGCCCTGTGGGGCTGGATTCCAGCATCACTGCAGGACGATGAGGGGGTGAGGGGAGGACGTCAGCCTTTAGGAAAAGCATGTTTCCCCCCTGGACCCCTCCCTCTCACTCCTTCTAGTCCCGTCTCTGTGCTGAGCATGAGGACTCACCCCTGTGCCTCAGACGCCCCACGGAGCCTTGGCAGAAGACTGTGCCTCATTTCGGGGGGCCCCACCCTGCCTGGAGGTCCTGGACAGAGCTCCGTGTCCTGGCCTTCCCTCCAGCCCCTTTACTTGAGGCTCCTGAGCAGTGGGCGTCAGCATGCCCATCTCGGGACCTCGAAACCGGAGCTGCACAGGTCCAGAGGGAGGCATTGGCGGGCTGTGCGGGCAGCTTCCTCCCACCTGCAAAGTCTCAGAGGACTGGAATGGGGGGGTCACCTCGTCCTCATCCCAAGCGGGCCAACATTCAGCTTTATCAACCATCTCTATTCTGAGGGTATGATGGGGGGTCAGGGGGCTCTTAGAGCACCCTAAGATCATGACCTGAGCTGAAATGAAGAATCCTTTGCTGGACTGAGCCAGCCAAGTGCCCCTTGTTCTTTTTCAGTGCAGTTGAGACGGTATCCTACAAGCTGTTCCCGGCTTTGCCCTTCCCGCCTGGTAACACGCGCTGAGCCTCTGCTCCGGGAGCACCTGACACGGCGCTCGCTCGTTCCCTTCTGCGCCTGCGCGGCAGGCCCGGGTCTGGAGGGCCACGGGTGCAGGGCCGCGCCGGAGGTTTGGGACAACTTGCTGGACATCCTGGGAGGGGACCCAAAAACAAAAGCAAAAAATGATCCGTTACCTTTCCCCTACACCAAGTAAATTCCAGGAATCTAGAGATGGAAATGTAGAAATGAAGCCAAAATGCATTTTTTTCAACTCGAAGTCAACTTGTATTGTTTCTTTTAAGCCTAATTGCAGGAAGATGTATGTAATAGTATATACACTTACTTAATATGTTTAATTTTATACATAATAATTTATTTAATATACTTAATTGTAGACAATTTAACAAACATAAAAAACACTAGAAAGTGAAAATCTCCCTCAGTCCCACCGCACAGAGTAAACGTTTTGTTGTCTGTCCTTCCGAACACTCCAGAACCGGGCGCGCGCGACGTTCCGAGCCTTGGCGGCCGCGGGGACGCGCACTGCGCTCGAGGGCCGGCAGGGGGCGCGGGGAGCCTGCGGCGCGCGGGGCCGCGGGGGCTCGGAGGGGCGGGGCGGGGCCGGGCCGGGGCGGGGCCGGGCCGGGGCCGGGGCCGGGGCCGGGGCGGGGCGGGGGCGGGGCGGGGCCGGGGCGGGGCGCCTCCGCTCGGATCCCGCTTCTCCTCTGCTCCACCCCAGTCCCTCAGCACTAACTCTGAGTTGGACCCTTTTGCTGTTTTACCCTTTTTCCGGATAAAACAGTATCCGCTAATTGCAGGAGAATGAGGGCATCAGGTGGCTCCTCCGCTAAGCATCTGACTCTTGGTTTCAATGCAGGGTCCCCGGACCGAGCCCGCACCGGGCTCCCCGCTCAGTGCGGAGTCGGCGTGAGACTCCCTCTCCCTCTGCCCCTCCAGCTCGTGCTCTCTCTCTCTCAAGTAAATAAGTAGATCCTAAATTTTTTTGAAACTCAGGAAAAAGGTACGAAGAGGAGGAAACGCTTACCTGTAATCCCTTCACCCGGGAATCACCGCACATAACAGCTTAGAGTTTTTCCCTCATAGTGTGCCTATGCGTTTTTTAAAGATATAATTCACATATCATAAAATTCACCCTTTTAAAGTACAATCCAGTCATTTTTAGGATATTCATGAATTTAACCCCCACCACTATCTAATTCCAGAACAACTCATCAATCCAAAAAGAAGCCCTGCACCCAGATCAGTCACTCCCCAGCTCCCCCTCCCAAACTGCCCTGTGCCTGTGGATTGGCCTATCCTGGCACGTATGTGACCTTGGTCTCTGGTTTCTCAAACCTGACATGTTTCCAAGTTTTCTCACGTTCTGGCGTGTCCCAGGGCTCCACTCCTTTTGACGGGCAAGTAACATTCCATTATGTGCGTCTGCTGTGTTTCCTTTATCTATCCCAGTTGATAGACATATGGGTTGTTTCCACTTTTTGAGTATTTTAAATAATGCTTCTATTAACATTGATGTACAAGTTTGTACAGGCATGTGTTTTCAGTTCTCTTTGGGTGCACACCCAGGAGTGGGATCATGCGTCCTATGGTAATTCTATGTTTAACTTTCTCAGGAACTCTCAACCCCTTTTCCAAGACAGCTGCTCCATTTCACATTCCCACCAACAAGACATCATTTTTCCACTTTTCCACATCTTCTCCAACCTGTGTCATTACCCTTTAAAAAATTACACTTGGGGCGCCTGGGTGGCTCAGTGGGTTAAGCCGCTGCCTTCGGCTCAGGTCATGATCTCAGGGTCCTGGGATCGAGTCCCGCATCGGGCTCTCTGCTCAGCAAGGAGCCTGCTTCCCTCTCTCTCTCTCTCTCTCTCTCTGCCTGCCTCTCTGTCTACTTGTGATCTCTCTCTGTCAAATAAATAAATAAAAATCTTTAATAAAAAAAAAAAAAATTACACTTATCCGGGCGCCTGGGTGGCTCAGTGGGTTAAAGCCTCTGCCTTCAGCTCAGGTCATCGTCCCAGGGTCCTGGAATCGAGGCCCGCATCGGGCTCTCTGCTCAGCAGGTAGCCTGCTTCCTCCTCTCTCTCTGCCTGCCTCTCTGCCTACTTGTGATCTCTCTCTCTCTGTCAAATAAATAAAATCTTAAAAAAAAATTACACTTATCCTAGTAGGTGTGAAATGCTAGCCCACTGTGGTTTTCATTTGCATTTCCCTGGTGACTAATAAGGTTGGGCATCTTTTCATGAGCGAAGTTGCCATTTGTAGATCTTCTCTGGAGAAACGTGTTTTCAAATCCTCTGTCCATTTTTAAATTGTGCGGTCTTTTTATTGTTGAGTTTTAAGAGTTCTTTATATATTCTGGATATTAGAACCTTATCAGACATAGGATTTGCAAATCTCTTCTCCCATTCTGTTATTGTCTTTCAATTTCCTATTTTTTTTTAATATTTTATTTATTTGACAAAGAGAGAGAGAGACATCGAGAAAGGGAACACAAGCAGGGGGAGCGGGAGAGGGAGAAGCAGACTCCCCGCTGAGCAGGGAGCCCGATGCGGAGCTCGATCCCAGAACCCTGGGATCATGACCTGAGCCAAAGGCAGAAGCTTTAACCCACTGAGCCACCCAGACGCCCCTATGTATAGATTTTTAACACGGATGAGCCCTCACCATACCGGTACCATTCCATATCTGCTTTTTTCCCTTTATTTATTTATTTATTTATTTATTTTAAAAAGATTTTTATTTATTTATTTGACAGACAGGGATTACAAGTAAGCAGAGGAGATAGGCAGAGAGAGAGGAGGAAGCAGGCTCCCCATGGAGCAGAGAGCCTGATGTGGGGCTCGATCCCAGGACCCTAGGACCATGACCTGAGCCGAAGGCAGAGGCTTAACCCACGGAGCCACCCAGGCGCCCCTTTCCCTTTATTTATATCACAGATATTTCCCCCAAGTTATCAAAAGTCCTTCTTCGACATCCTTTTTTATGGCTAAGTATTAGTCCATTGTATGGTTACACTGATTTATTTAGCCATTCTTCTCTTGTGGGATACTTAGGTTCTTAACAATTTTTCCATTTTTAAGTGTATCTGCAGTATTTTCTATGCATCGTGTTATCTGCTTATCAGACCACGTACATAGTCATGACAAAGTCGTGTGTGCTTTTTCTGTCCTATTGGCCTTTATTCCCACCTCGTGAGGAGGCGTGAGACCCAGGCAACTTGCGACTCCTTGAGGCCCATTTCTCTTGCAATCCCATGCAATCCCCAGGGCCCGGCCTGCACCCTCAAGGGAGGCTCCTTCAGAAAGCTCCTCGCCGGTACCCTGCACTGAGGCCCCAGGACTGTGTCCCAACCTGGCCAGAGCTCTAAGTGACATAAAGTCTTGGTAACTTGCTATATCCCCACAAGGTGGTGAGGCCCAGCAGGACAAGGGCTGGACACCTTTATACCACCAGCCCTTGGTCTACAGAAGATGCTTAATAATTCTGGAACGAGTGAGTCAGGCAGAACAAGTTGCTCACCACCCTAGGCCAGACTAGGAACCCTGAGTCAGACAACGGTGGCCACGAGGTTTGTGGCGTGGCCTGCAAAGTGGGCCACACACAAACTGTGAGCTGGAAAGGGCCTTGAGATTGCCTCCTTCCAGCGCTTTCAAACCTCTGCCATGACCACTGTATGATACAGGACTTTGGCTAGGTGGAGGGGACAGAGAAATGGAGGGAGACATGGTGGAAACTGAAGTCGGGTTGTGGAACTCCCTCAGCAGCCCCCAATACCACAAGGCCGAGTTTGTAAAAACGACTGAACTAGTCCAGTCTTCTAATTTTACAGACCAGGGGAAGGGTGCTCTTAAGTGACTTGTTAAAGGTCTCACGACCAGTGGTGGAAAGGGGAAAGGACTCACACGTGCCTCCCATTCACAGGACCTTCCCCAACTCGAGCAGCCTCTGAGTACCTTCCAAGAATCCCGCATCCCTGATGCCGTAGGAATTCCACTAAGCAAGACCCACCACCGTTTAATGTCCCTGTGTCCCCAGGGAGCATTCTTACAACAAGCAGGGCTGGGCGCCTGGCGGCTCAGTTGGTTAAGCCTCAGACTCTCCATCTGGGCTCAGGTCACGATCTCTGGCTCCTGAGAGGGAACCCCAGGCTGCAGGCGCTGGGCGTGGAGCCTGCTTGGGGTTCTTTCTCCTTCTGCCCCTCCCCCCAATAAATAAATTAATAAAAGTAAAGTTATTTACGGGGAAAATTTTATGAACTCCGATAAACGGAGCCACGTGACAAAGCTCCGCCGGGAGATGCTGGTTTTTCTCTGCGGTTCCTGGCGGAGGTGCGCGCCTGTCACCGTGAACACCGCGACCGGAGCGGGGGGGTCAGCCCGAGGGCGGCTGGGGAGGCCCGGCAGTTCGTGGGGACGGCGCCTGTGCAGCTGCTCCGGCTGAGCTCTCGGCCGTCGGCGACGTTTGCTCCGAGGGGCCTCCCACCTACAGACAAGCGCCAGGCCGCCAGCCCCGCGCGCGATCGGGGTCCGCCTCTAGCTCCACGCCCCCCGCCCCGCTCCGGGTCCGCGTCTCCCGCAGCTTCGCATCAACGGTTCCAACCCGGCAGGTGCCCGCAAGGGCCTGGTGAGCCTACTGACACCCGGGACGACTGCCCCGGAGGCTGAGCATTCGCCCCCGCAAGCCGCCCCCGAGGGGCTCCCCGCTCGCCGCCCCACGCCCAGCTCAGGCCGCCCCTGCGCGCCCCGCGCTTCCTTCCCCGTCTCTGGGCGCGGGACTGACGCGGCGTCGCTGCCAAAGCTGTTCTCGGCGTCCCGCGGGCGGGTCAGGACCAGCCCCTCGTCCGCCCCTGGGCTGCAGGCTGGCCGGAAACGGAACACGCCGAACCCCGGAGACGGGCGCGCGCGGGCGCGTTCCTGCGGCAACCGTGCAGGCAAGAGACGCCCGGCAGCCGGCCTCGCGGGCGGTGGCGCCTCTACGGTGTGGGCGGGCGCCTCTACGGTGTGGGCGGGCGCCTCTACGGTGTGGGCGGGCGCCTCTATGGTGTGGGCGGCCTAGAGGGGCCGACCCGCAGCTTCCGGGAAGATGGCGGCGCGCAGGTCGGAGGGCGCACGTGTTCGCGTGGAGGGGGCCCGCGCTGACGGTAAGCGGCGGCCGCCCCTTGGACGGTGGCGGTCGGAGGCCGGGCTCGGGAGTGAAGGCGGGGGCAGGACAGTAGCCCCACCAGGTGGAGCTGCAGCAGGAGAGACGAGAGACCGGGGAGGGGGACCTGTGGAACCGCGGTCCGAAGAGTGGCCCCGGCCGCTTTAACGTGAGAAAACTCGGGTTGACCCGAGAGCAGGTGGTTCCGGACGCGCGCTCGCAGCTTTCGCGACCCTGCGGCGCACAGCCTGGGGCATCGTAGCTTCTGTCCGCAGTGACCGCTGCCGGTCGGTCAAGCCCCCGGGTCGTACCGGCTGAGCGCGTTCACGCCGGCCTTGAGCGCGCGGGGTCGGAGAACGAAGCCAGACGCCGATTCAGGGCGTGCGGTTTCCAGTGACCGCGGCGGTCAGCCGTAGGTCAGGGAGCTCAGAGAGCTCCAAGAGGCCGAGGGGTAATTCACACCAGTTCTGAGATCCTGGATCCTCTACTTGTCAGCTGTTGGGTTTGGGCAAGGAATAAACTGCCCTGCGATTTGTGTGTTTGCAAATGTGGGTAATAACACGTCCTGGTAGGGTCGGTGGGAGGATGAAAAGACGGTCCGTGTAAAGCGGTCAGCAGGCTGGCGTCGAGTAAATGATAGTGTCAGATGTTACTGTTGTTTTTATCAAAATCTGGGAGCTGATGGATCAGAGATGACTTCCGGGAGGAGGCCGGGTTTGGAGGCCGGCCTAAAGGCCCCAGTGTTCGAATTTTACTTTCCTTATAAATTCAAGAGCCATTTCTTCACCCCTGCTTTTCTGTCGGGACTCTTAAGGTGTCAGGTTTTTGGGTAATTGCCCCTCACAGTAGAAACATGGACAGAAATGTACGTCATCCTGAATTTGCCACTCTTCAGGCCCAGAGCTGGTATCCTGACCTGTGCCGAAGGCAGGCGCTTAAGGACTGAGCCACGAAGGCGCCCTATAGTAAATTATCTTTATACAGGTTAACTCTCGGTGAGTCAGCAGTGGTGGCCCTCAGCTCTGTGTGTGCGATAAGCCGGCCTGACCATTCCAGAGGCAGATGAGTGTATAAGCCGGGTAGTGCCGTTGTCCGGCTCCAAACGCAGGAGCACCTGTGCGCCCATAAAGAAATGCTGCTTGTAACTGTGGCGTGGTAGGAAGAGGCCACGTTGGAGGCAGGTAGGCAGCCTGAGGTTGTTTTCCAGCTCCCCTCTCTTAACTAGCTCTGTGACCCAGGCTTTGTTTTCTTTGTAAATTAAAGATATTAGCCACGCACAGGACGATCAGCATTAAACAAGACACAAAAACAATACGTGGAATCAACCTGTTATGCATGAAATGCTCAGTAAGGTCACCCTTCCTCTTTTTTTTTTTTTTTTTTTTTAAGATTTTATTTATTTATTTGAGAGAGACCACAAGTAGGCAGAGAGGCAGGCAGAGAGAAAGGGAAACAGACTCCCCGCTGAGCAGAGAGCCCGATGCGGGGCTGGATCCCAGGACCCCAAGACTAAGACCCGAGCCGAAGGCAGAGGCTTAACTCACTGAGCCACCCAGGGGCCTCAAGGGTACCCTTCCTAAGCTAGACAGTTTCAAAAAGGGTGTTCCAGCAAGATTGAAGACCGGCAGCGAGGAAGAGGTGCAGAGCCCCCACACTTGAGAGTACAGTGAGTGCTGGAGCGTGGCTGTGAGATACGGCTCCGTTCAGTATTCTCATGATTCAGGTTAAAGATCCCTTGTTGCTTTGTTTTTGTGTGGCAGTGAGTTGCAGGAGCTGTCACCACGTGGCGGTAAAGAGCGGGACTCCACGGGCGAGTCGTCTGGCTGAGTTCCTACACATAGTAGCTCTGTGACCCAGAGCAAGTCACGCTTTCTCTTTGTAAAGGAGGGATGATATATTCCCGGATGGAATGTTCCAGAACGCCTCCTGAACTGGGAGAATTAAATGAAATAATCATGTGATGAGCACTCTGTAAACTTAGGTGTTACTAATTAGACCAATCCTGCTTGACTTGTGGACACGCTGATGACCTCTCTGTGGTCAGACGGGGAGCCCCTCCCCCCCAGCAAAGACCAGGTCTCCTTCCTCTGTCTCTGCCCCAAGTTCAGAAAATAATTTTTATGAGAGCAGTCAGGCTGGAGCTGATGGATGATTTGGGCACTTTCTCCTTTTTTCTTGAAGGGCTGATGACGGTGTCTTCTCTGGTGAGGGACTGAGAATCGGGACTCTTGTCTCACCATGAGCGTCACCCCAGAGGTCAAGAGTCATGGGATGAAGTTTGCTGAGAAGCAGCTGCTAAAGCATGGATGGACGCAAGGTCATCCCTGGGGTGCCCCTCCACATCCCCCCCGCCCCCGCTCCCTGCGCGAGCCCAGGGGAGCAGCTTCCTCCTGGGCCATCCATAAGTAGTCCATTCAGCTGGAGGGGGGAAAGCCAGTTTAAAGGGAAATTGCAGAAGAAAATATCTGACTTTTCCAGAAAAGGGATGAGTGGAAGAAATGTGACAGCGGGTCGTGAGAAAGAAGTGTTTGGGAGGACTGTGGGGGAGTAAGGGTCACGGCCTCTATCCTGAAACAATCACGAGGGAGAGACGGGTCGGGGTTAGACAAAGGCAGGGACACTGCATGGAGAGGCGCCAGAAGGAGGGGGACTGGAGGGCGTCCCCCAGTGCTCAGTGTGTGTTGTGACAAGGAGTGGCACGTGTTGATGCCTGTGAGGGCTTGGGGCAGGTGGCACAATAAACCAGGTCACTCACTGTCCTGCAGGCAAAGGCCTGGGCCGGAAGGAGAATGGCATCACCCAGGCCCTCAAGGTGACACTGAAGCAGGACACTCATGGGGTAAGACTGGGCAGGCTGAGGGAGGTCTGTGTGGCTGAGAAGGGGACCCCAGGGACAGAGCAGGGACAGGTCCTTGGAGTTCATACTTCTCTGGCAGGTGGGACATGACCCTGCCAAGGAGTTCACAGACCACTGGTGGAATGAGCTCTTCAACAAGACTGCAGCCAGCTTGGTTGTGGAAACTGGGCAGGTACGGGGTGCTGATCGATGGGCGAGTGGACCGTGAAGGTCTGGGACGTGTGGGGTGCGGGGCACACCCACGTCCCCCACTTACTGATACCTCCCCACAGGATGGAGTACGGCTAAGGCATCTCTCTAAGGAGACCACCCGTTGTAGTCGTCCCAAGCCCAACATGCTGTATCAGAAGTTTGTGAAGGTGCGAGGGGCTTGGGTTAAGAAGGTCCATCCTTTTTCCTTCCCTGGTCTCCCCCAGGGCCTGAACCATTGCTTCACATGCCTAGCCCTCCTTCGCTCTTCTACACCTATCCTAACATCGTCAGACGTCACTTGCTTAGATAGCAGACCCGCAACCAGAATTAGACTTTCAGGTCCCAAGGGCCTGGGGATGGGGCCTGGGTGGTGGGGCACGGGCACCCGCCAGAGCAGGGCGGGAGGGGAGGTCCAGTGCAGAGGACTTAGAAGCCAGAGGAGACCCTACAGGTTATCTGACCCCACCCCATTTCCTCTCACATTCCACGGCCACCTGTTCCGTGCTAGGGCTCTCTGTGTTCTGCAGCGAGCCTTTCCCGTGTCTCCCCATCCCTGTGGCCATCCTCCCCTGCCGGATTGCTGGGACAGCCTCCTACCCAGACCCCCACCCAGTCTCACTGGCCAGCCCAGTCAGTGCACTGCCGCAGCGGCCAGAGCGCTCTCTTAACGCCTTGCACTGGGGCTCTGGTTCGTCCGTGACCGAGGATGACCGTCCCGATGTGTCGGACTGGCTCACCGCGCCCTGCGGTCTTGTCCTGCTCTCACCGTTCTCAGGCCTCTACCCTTGGGACGGGATCGGATTCTTTTGAAGGTACCGCCTCTGCCACCTGCAGGTTTCTGCGGGTGCTTGTCCCACTCACGGCCTTTGGCAGTGCCCTGCTGCCTTTCCCCCTTCACCTGCCCACTTGTGGTGGTCTCCGAGAGCTCACGGAGTTCCCGAAATGTCCCCAAACCCTGAAGTCGGATCGGTACCCCTCCTCCGGCACAGGCAATGCTTGTGTTCTGTCCCCCACCCTCCGCCCCCGTGTAGGCTCCTCTGGGCCTGTTCGGCTCCTGTCCCAGCCCGTTGGCCCGGAGTAGGTTCTCAGTCTTAGTTACGAGCACTGCGGGTAGGCGTGGGGGAGGGCGGTGAGAAGCGCCATGGGATGACATCAGGGGACACCAGGAGGACCCAGTGACCCGGAGCATGCCCCCTCCCTTCTTGTTCTGCTCACTGGTGGCTCCACCGCCCCCCCCGCCCCGGCAGCCCACCTCCTGCCAGGGTGGAGGTACGCTGTGGCTCCCCTCTCTGTGGGTCTCCAGGGAGCTGTGTTGGGGGCTGGCAGGTCGGCACCTGAGGCTGCCTGTTCTGGGTGGGGGGGCTTTCGGGTGGCAAGAGGGGTTGGCAGTGGCGTCGAGTGGGCTTTGTCCGCCCCCACGATCGCTCTTTCTAGACGGCCACACTGACATCAAGTGGGGAGAAGCCAGACAAGGACTTGGAGAGCCACAGTGATGACGACAACCAGGGACCCAAGCCTCCGAAGATGTGAGTGCATTTTAGTGCTGGGGGTGTGTGGGAGGAGAGAAAGGACCAAGTTTCAGGCCTGACTGGGCTTCTCCGGGTGGAACTATGTCGGACTGATCTTTGCTTCCCCGCACCTAGAAAGTGCCAGGTCCCGAACAGGGACTCCGTGTTGACGGGAGGTTTCAGAGGGCAGGAGAGGTCAGGCCTTTGCGCGAGCTGTTTGTGACTCCTGGTCTCCCCCAGCAGTCTGACCGATGAGATGCTGCTCCAGGCCTGTGAAGGGCGCACGGCACACAAGTAAGTAGTGGTCAGCTCCTTGGGGTCCCTTCTTTCCTCCCCATCACAAGCCCTGGGCGGTGGCCTCTTCTGTACACGTCTCACGCCAGGGGAGGGATCCCCCCGCCTCCCCCCACCAGCGTTGCCTGCACCTGCAAGGGCCAGGCCTGTTGACCCCGTACCTCGCTTTGAGTGGACCCCATCTGCTTCAGGGCCGCTCGTCTCGGAATCACAATGAAGGCTAAGCTTGCCCGGCTGGAGGCCCAGGAGCAGGCGTTCCTGGCTCGTCTCAAAGGCCAGGACCCTGGGACCCCTCAACTGCAGTCTGAGAGCAAGCCCCCCCAAAAAAAAAAGAAAAAGAAAAAGAAAGGAGACGCCACAGCAACAGCCAGGAGCGCCGACGAAGAGTGTGGGGGAGATGCCGGCCGGGCGGACTGGAGGAGCAGGAAGAAGACAAGACGGAAGCTGGCGGCAGTGGTGGCAGAGGAGCCGGAGGGAGTGGCGGTGGGGAGTGCGGACAGGGGGGCCGCAGGAGCGAGTGCACCCGGAGAGGAGGAGAGCAGGGAACGAGCCGATGAGCGCCACAGGAAGAGAAAGAGGAGGCAGCACCGCACAGAGGAGACGGGGGTCCCAGATGGAGCGGCCCAAGGTCAGGAGGCTGAGGCCAGCGCCGGGACAGAGCAGGCAGAGAGTGGCACGTGCGCCGGGCTGCGGCGCAGACACAAGAGACGGCGGCGGCCGGAGGAGGGGGATGTGAACGCAGAGGACGTGGTGGAGGGGGCCGCTGTGGACGGTGGGGCCCAGGGAGCAGCCGGCAGAGCGCACGGTGAGGGGAAGAGCAGGAAAAGCAAGAAGAGAAGACCGCGGCGCCAGGAGGAGGAGGAGGAGGATGTAAGGGATAAAGGGGATGACGAGGGTGGCGGGACTCGGGAGGCCGGGAGCAGCCCAGGCGAGAGGCGGCAGCAGGGCCAGGCTGCGGTCAGCGCTGACCGGAGAGTGAGAGAGCAGCAGCAGAAGAGGATGTGAAGGTCAGGTCAGTGTGGGGCTCCACGAACTCCCTTCGAGGAGCTGGGGACTCAGACCGGAGTTGACGGTCTCCTGCGCCCTCCCAAGGAGGAAGCAGACCACTGAACTCCAGCTGCTCAGAGCCGGGTGTGGGCAGCGTCACCTGAAGCTTCTAACCCGGAGGGCGAGAGCTCGGGCTGTGGGAAGGGGCCTGTGGACGGCCTGCCGGGGGGACATGGTAGCTGCAGACGCAGCCCACAGGCCGCCGGCCCCCCAGACTAGAGTAAATGACTGAGCGCCAGCCTGTGTGTGCTTCCTGCTTCTCCACTCCCAGCCTGGGAACCTCTGAACACAGCTCAGGGGTTCCTTGGACGTCTCCAAAGAAATTCCTAGTGTTCACCTCCCATCATCTCGCCACCCTGCTAAGTGGAAGGGGAAAGCCCAGAGAACTCACTTGGGAGCTTTCTCAGCCTCTGAAAGTCCGTGTTTGTTGCACCCAAACACCCCAGCTGCCTCCCTGGAGCCGGTTCTGACCCTGTGGAGAGGTGGCCCCGTGTCTGCCAGGTCACTCTCTGGCTCCCGCCGCCTGTCACCCATTACTGCCAGGAAGGATCCCCGGATTCCACGGCTTTGGAGAGGGCCACAAAGTCTTTATTGGGAGGAACAGCCGCCCAGCCCCCCTCACTGCAGACGGTAGACGCACTCGGTGTCGGGGTAGGGCGGCAGATTCAGCTGGTACTTCTTTTCCAGAGCAGGTGGCACAAAGCGACCCCCCAGGTAGTGGTAGCGCCCAGTGAACTGGGTGGCTGACTTTTTGGGTGCTGTCAGGGAGATGAGCAAGTCTGGCTGGATCCCTCCGGAGTTCCCCTTCTCCACGTCCCATCCTGAGAAGAGGATGGTATTCAGGGAAAGAGAACGAGATCTGTTCCTCTTCGTGCCCTGCTCTACCCCTGTCCTGAAGGCCCCTGTGTCCCCACTTGAGGAACCTTCGTTGAGTCCTTGAAGCTCCGTGGACCCCTGGGCTTTGGTCTCTTGGATCCAACACATATGGGCAGTAGTCCTTAGCTCTGCTCCCTGGCCCTTTTGTGGAATCCACAAAGCTGTGTTCTGCTCCTCCAGACGCAGCTTTAAGCTTGGTCTGAGCCTTGGGTCAAGAACGAGGACGCCCAGATGCCTGTCTCAGGACAGGGCAGGGTCCCAGCCCCGATCCCTACCCCCCGGTCCCCAGCTTCCTTGGACCCAGCACCTGAGGGGATGTCAATGCTCGCGATGGGCACCGTGAGCCCATTCAGGACACTCAGGATGCTGCGGAACGGCTCCCGGACATCGCCTTTGAAGCTGAAGCCAAAGATGGCGTCCACGACCAGCTCGTACAGTTCGTCGATCAGCCTGGGCTGTGGGGGGCAGGAAGGGGAGCACGTCACAGCCCGCAGCTGCACAGGGGGCCCTTGGGAGACAGCTGTGCCTTCATGCACCATTCACAGAGGCACAAATAGGTCACCGATATAAAGGCATTCTCAGGCCTAGACTTCAGCACAAGCTGGTCATTGATGAGGCCAAGCTGAGCCCAGACAGATCTGTTCTGAGGGCCTGCCGGACCCTGGGGTGGTACAGGGTTTGACGGCCTGAGTCCAGGAGTCAGGACAAGCCACTTGCCTTCTCTGCACCATCCCAGTCCCCCGCTGTTGAATGTGTTAAACTTAAAAACAAAGTTCTCACTTCCACCCTGGTCTGTAGACTAAAGAAAGGGTTTAGGATGAGGCAGTTTACTGCTTATGAGTCCTGACCTCCGCGGGAAAGCGCTGACCGTGGAAGTGAAGGGAGAGGGGCTTCGGGGAAGGCGGCAGGAGGGCACTGATGGAGCACGTCCACTGGCAGGGGCTCCCCTACTCAAACCGCCCAGATCGGCGCCCCCGCCCCCGCCTGCACGGAGTCCACCCTCCAGAGAGATCAGCGAGCGAGCTCGGCCTGGGAACAGGAGGAGGAGCAGGACACCGGCGGTGGCTGGGGAACGGGAGGACCCCCACTGGAGCCACCTACCTCCGGGGGCATTTCACCAAGGAAAGGGATTTCCATTTTCTGACACTGGGTCACCAGCGCTGTGAAGAGCGGCTTGTTCGGCCTTTTGGGGTAATAAATGGTTGGCTGGTAGCCCTGGAGGAAAGGAGAAGGGTCGTCCGAGCCCGGGTCCCGGAAGCCCCGCCGCCCCGGTCCTCGCCCACACACTCACGAAGAGCTTGAGGTGCCGCGCGCAGACCAGACCGTCTCCTCCGTTATTCCCGGGCCCGCAGATGACCAGGACGGCGGGGGGGCTCCGGGACATGGACTTGGGGGGATAGGCCTGGAGGCGGGGTCAGAGGGCAGTCAGGGGCGCTGGGCGGCCCCGCGCCAGCCCGGCCCGCTGTCCCCGCCCCTCGGCGGTGCCCAGGCCGCTGACCTTGGCGATGGCCGTGGCGCAGCTCAGCCCGGCCAGCTCCATTAGTTGGTCCACGCTGAACTGGTACTCGTTGAACAGCTCCTCGTCCACCGCCTGGGCCTCCTCCTGGCTGCGGACACCCCGAGCCTCAGTCCCGGCGCCCCGCGCGGCCCGTCCCCGCTCCTGCCCCCCAGCGAGCCCGCCCCGGCCTCGCCTACCTCAGGTACTTCACCGCCGGGCTCGCCATGTCCGCAGGCTCCCCGGGGCCGCCCGAGCGCGGCCGCCGCGTCCCCCACCACGTGGGCCCCGCACGGCAGGCGCCGGCCTGGCCCGGGACGCGCCGCAGATGGGAGCCGGCGGCCAGCAGCCCGAGCCCCAACAGCGCCCGCAGCGCGGACATGGAGCTCGCCCGGCGCATGTGCGGCGCCGGCTCCGCCCTCGGAGGCGGGGCCGCGGGTTCGCTCCCCCTCCCCCCGCGGACGCGGGGCCGCGCATTCCGGGGGGCGGAGCCGCCCTGCGGGCAAAGTGTATAGTAATGGGTCCTCGGGCGCCGGTGGCGGTGCGGGCAGCCCGGGGTCCTTCCCTGGCACTGCCCGGCTGAGTGGACGGGGCCTCCCTGGTGTCCGCGTCCCGTGAGCTCCCACTTCGACGGTGCGGGCGCTCACAAGGCCGGCCCGGAGCTCGGGTCCTCGCCGTCGAGGCCGGTCCCTGCTAGAGGGACAAGCGCGGGTGGGAAGGGAGCCGGGCTTCATTCAGGAAGCGGGCGACCTGGGAACGGGGTGGACCGCACCCCAGGGCCAGCCTTCAATCCGAGCGATCCTGGAGCGTTTTGAAGGGGAGAGCGCCAGAAACGGGGGCTCGGTGCGGGAGAAGCCGGTGCCCGGGCGGTGAATCGTTCGTAAACAGAACCCCGAGCAGGCCTAGTGTTCCCCAGAGCCCCTTCGCGCCTCAGGGAAAGGGGGTGTCCTGCTGCAGACCAAGGGCCTTAGGTCGGCAAGCAAGGACTGCAGAGGCTTGAAAGTTAACCCCAAGGCCCTGTGGACTGCTGTTTGCGGTGTAGTTTGGGACCCCTGTCCCAACCACATTAGCTGCCCCTGCCCACCTCTGCTTACTAGCATAGCGCGCTGCGTTTCCCTGATACTTACTCAGCGTTTGCCCCCTTTACCAAGGTAGATGATACTTATGGTGGGGCACCTGGCCGGCTCCGTGGGAGGAACATGCCCGCCGGTGATCTCCAGGTCATGAGGGTGTAAAGATTACTTTTATTTATTTTCGTTAAAGATTTTACTTTTAAGTAATCTCTACACCCAACATGGGGCTTGAAATCATGACCCTGAGATCAAGAGTCATAGGGTCTTCTGACTGAGCCATCCAGGGGCCTCCTGAAGATTCATCTCTAAAACACAGTGCGAGGCGTGTTTTTTGAGCATGTGCCCCGTGCTAACACGAATCAGCTCATTTTATCCTTGTGGCAGCCCTGTTACCATCCCCATTTTCCAGACTGAGAAAACTAAGCTCCAAGATGTTGACTGACATGCCCAATGATACAGTGACAGCTGTCCACGGAGCGAGGGTCCAAGCAGCTTGAGCTAGTCTGAACTCTGAAGCATTATCTTGTAGGGTGTGGCCTTCCACGCGTGAGGAAATAGGTAGAGCGCTGTCGCTGCTGACTTCATTCCGACGCGATGTAGGAATAAAACAGGGACACGCACATACCCCACCACATGCTCAGAATTTATAAGACAGCCACTGGAGGGCTGTCCCGAGGAAGGAGGAGCTGAAGACCTACTCCATCTTACCGCTGCCTTTCAGACTTCCAGAGTTTTCTTTGGGAAATGCCTTTAAAAGCAGTTAGGAAGGACACAGTGATCACAGCCCTGCTGAGTTCCAGATGCTTACCTATTTCATCCTGTCAATCCTATGACCTGGCTTTATCCTCACATTATAGCACAGAGAAGTCAAGTAATTTTCCAAAGACCACACAGCTGGGGGTTTCTGGGTGCCTCAGTCGTTGGGCGTCTGCCTTCCACTCAGGTCATGGTCCCAGGGTCCTGGGATCAAGCCCTGCATCGGGCTCCGGCTGGAAGCCTGCTTCTTCTTCTCCCTCTTACCCCGCTTGTGTTACCTCTCTTGCTGTCTCTCTCTCTCTCTCTCTCTCTCTCTCTGTGCCAAATAAATAAATAAAATCTTAAAAAAAAAAAAAGAACATATAGCTATTAAATGGTAGAGCTAATGACGGTTGATACAGCATTGGCCTGACCCAGTGTCAGTATTCCCGTGGGGCAGGTGCTGCTACCTGTCCCCCAAAATCCATTCTCTTCTCTTCCTTTGGCAGCAGAACCCCTGAGTTGGGTCTGGCCGCGGGGCTGCCCAGCTGAACACTACATTTCCCACTCTCCCTTGCAGCAGTGATGCATGTACGTGCGACTACATGCTGACCAATGACGTCTGAGCAGAGGGGAGGTGTGGCGGCCAGGTCCTCCCTTTGGCGGGGAGGCGGGGAGGCGGGGAGGCGGGGCTTATTTTCCCGCACTTCCTCTTTCCCTCCTGCCGGCTGGGAACAAGGGCTCTGCAGCCACCGAGCAGCCATTTTAGACGGGGGCAGGGGAAACCGGTGTGGGGACCACGGGGCGTCCTGCGGACTCCCCAAGCTCCGCGAACCGGGGCTGCTTTCATGGGAGAGGAACAAATTTGTCTCTGCCTCTGTTTAAAGGCAGCGTACGTCGGGCTTTGTTAACAGGAGGTGGACCTGCATCCCGCACAAGACATCTTGAATGCCTGACGAGGTGCCAAGGAAGGTGGGCCGCCGTGTCCCCAGCCGCCTGTTCCATGCGTGGCACAGGCTAGGTCCCCTGCAGGTGTTTAACGGCTCCTCAGACGCTCAG